AAAAAAAAAAAAAAAAATCATTCTCTGGCCAACCCTGTTTTTCCTCCAACTACTACTCACTCAACTATCTGATTTAAACAGATCTAGAATAAAGATGCTTAAATTGACAGGCATAAGAGACTTTTTTTCAGAAACCTAAATCATCAGTTATATCGATCTTTTCTGAACTATAAAGCACCAAAATTAAGACCCAAGTATGGACAGAGTCAGTTAGTTGCCTCTACAATACAGCCATCTCTAGTAGTAGTTACATTAAGCACAATTCTGAGTTGTCAGATATAGTCTCATTTGGAATTAGCCTAATAAGACCCGAATGGAAGCTTAACAGCTCAGCACCACAGTGATTACCTGCCTCTCAAGCTCATCTATGAAAGTATTTCCACACGTCAATGCATGGAAATCAGAGATACAAATCATACAATGTGGAAAAATGAACCCCACCTCTTCTGTTTATTTTTAAAAGCACACTTGAACAATACTTCTCCATACACAGAGCAGGTGCTGACATGCACTCCTACTCACATGTCGGCATTCAAGCTAATTATGACAATGCGCTATAGAAATCCTGACTATATAATTACAATTTCATTTACCTGAGTTGTCTTTAGTCTAAGACTACTTAATACACGTTTACACAATCACATCTCTAAAGGTAATCCTCGGCCATTATGAGATTTTGAATATTTCATATTTTGATAAAAGAATACCTCAAATCTCCTTCCATAAAAAATATTCAATACAGAAATGCAAGTATTTTATAAAAACCTATCCAAATTGCTCTATCACTCCAAGGGCCCCTAAAAAACAGTATATGTAGCAAGAATAAGGTCCGCATTTGATATACTCAAGTCGTGAAAATTAAAGTAGTACCATTTAACTTAAATCTAAAATGATCTGAAGTATTCTTCATGGATGTTCTCAATGTTTAATAAGCTTTATTACATTTTAATTCCTAGACATATCACGGTTCCTTGATCTGCCCCCCTTCTCCAACTACATTTGAGAGTAATACATAGAACATACAGGGGTAGTAGTTTTAGATAAGCAAAACAAAAGCTTTTCACGCAGCTTTTTCAACATCAGGAACAGATCAAGTTTTACCTCATTCCCTAGTAGTCAGGGAATAATTCACCACCTGCCCTGGGCACTTCAACTTGTGTCAAAATATGCCTCAACTTTCCCACTAGATCATCAGAATTCACTGCTTTCTCACAAATCAAATTGCTTCTTTAGGCATAGGACTTAATACCAATGTTTCTTTCCCTCCAGTAAGATACAGAATCCAATGGCCCAGGAGCACTTATTACCTGACCCCCACCTAATACTGAACTCTGAGCTTCAATGCATTTGATCATGATCAAAACTAACCAATAGAAAGCCAGTACAAGTTACCGTTAGCCATGGTCAATTCTACTTAAGATTCTTTGTTTGGAAAATATCATCATCTGCCAAGTCATTTTTCAGCTCTTTTAAAATAAGCCCACAATACTTTGCATAAATTTCTAATACTGGGTAGTCAAAGAGTATATTCTTCCTGATGCACACATATTAACTTTTACTTCTGAAGTGTTCTTTAATCATTACCAAGTATAGCCCTACTATAAAACACAAATATTGCCCACACACTCATACACCCCCATGTCAGAGTTTCTGGTTATTAATTACACTGCTTCTCTTCAGAAAAGTACTCAGATTTTCTAACTAAAAACTAACCATCCTACAGGACATGGGATAGTCCCCCAACAGAAAGCATCTTACCCAAAATGTCAATTGTGCCAAGGTTGAGGAAGCCTGTGCCACTTCCATATTCAGATATAGAAAAAAACTAAGGTCTGGAAGTCTACAAAAATCCCTTTTGCCTTAATACTGGAAAAACCACCCAATATATTAAGTATAGGGGACTCTTATGAGATAAGCAGTAAGATGTACCTTGGTCAAGTGTTGGTAAGATCACAAGCAGTTGAAAATCTTTAATTAGGGGCACGTTGGTGGCTCAGTCGCTTAGGCATCTGTCATGATCTCAGGGTCCTGGGATCGAGCCCCACATCAGGCTCTGGGCTCAGCAGGGAGTCGGCTTCTCCCTCTCCCTCTGCACCTGCCCCCTGCTCCTTGAGCTTGGGCGTGCTCTCTCAAATAAATATTTAAAAAATAATTTTTTTTAAATAAACTCTTTAAGTACTATATCCATCGGTAGGTCTGCCTAGTTTAGGCAAGCAATTCAGTGTCTCAACTAATTTCACACAACCTCGGAAGGATACAGGGAGTGCAGGAGCACAGGGATTTTAGCACAAGAGAAGATCAGATCTACTGGCAGGGAATGGCAAAGAAAAATTGAAGCATAGAAAAGTACTCGTGTCTTATTACCTCATAGCTCACATCATCCAATCAGGTCCAGCCAATCCAAGTCCCTTAACATTTTTTTTTCCCCAACCTCTAC